GCCATCCTCATTTGGCCCTTCACCTGGCTCTCATCACTCATCCCTTTCAAGCATGCCATCATGTCTTTTCTGCCCAAATCCCCGCTGACACAATTACTTTCACACTTCATTCTAGAATGTCTTGTGCTTGACCACTAGGTGAAGTGAGGCTATGGGTTTGGGGATGGCCTCTGGCTTTGTTTGTTCAGTGACGACTCTCACCTGGTCCCTGGTGCACTCGGCTCCTTCCCCTGACTGCCAGGGAGGCTGGGCACCTTGGTGGCTGTACTATGACAGCTCTCATCCCTGGGTGGCTTCTCCGTGTCCCTCATGCATGGCGTGTGTTTGCAATTGTAGTGTCTTTTCCTACATCCCCTCCCTCATGGGGTGGGAGCTCTCTCCCCCTTTTCCTAGGTTGAGAGACTAAGGTCCAGTGTTTACATAGTTTCGCCAAGGTCTCACAGCAACTCTGGGGAAGGGAACAGGATTTAGTTCTGGTCTCAGTGAACACTGGGGTGCTTTTCAGGGGAACAGGCTGCCTCTGGTATAGGAGTGCAAACCTCTCAGTTCAACTGGAAAAAATTGTCGTTAGCAGGTCAGCTCTACAAGCATGTGGCAGCAGCAGCCTGGCAGAGGGAAAACAGAGTGGGAATGCTGGGGACCAGAGGGGTCTTTCTAGATAGGTCTGCCCCAGAGCTGCGCCATGCTGGTGACCTCTGCAGACCACGCCGGTCGAATCCTGACTGACTGGCCCCATCTGGGTGCATCTGTCTCAGGAAGTCTCGCAGGCTCCATTTCCTGACATGGGCTGCTCTTTGAGAGGAGCTGGGCCGCACTGTGACTGTCACCTTGACCTCCGGCACTCAGAGGGCCTGCTGCCTTTCAGTATTTTGACTCCTACATGCTCAGCCTCCAAGAGTGTGAGTTGCTCTGTTTCTCATCTCAGACCCGAGGAGCTGGGAATTAGGGCTGAGTGATGTGGGACCCTCAGGTCTCAAAATAATGAATTTATTTCTCAAGAAATTCTTTTCTTTTTTCCTTCCTTCTGTTCCTCTCTCCTCTCTCCCTCCTCCCTCTCTGCTTCCTTCCTTCCTTCCTCTTGCAAGGTACCTTCTAGATCAGCATTAGTCAACAGAATACAGCCTGAGGCACAAATACAAACCACATATGTAATTTGAAAATTGCTAGTAGCCACATTCAAAAAGTAAAAATGAACTGGTAGAGTTAATTTTAACAATACATTTTACTAACCCAATATATCCAAAGTATCATTTTAACATATAATCAATATAAAAGTGTTAATGTGATATTTTACTTTGTCTTTTTGGTATTATAAGTCTTTGAGAAAATATTTCTCCTTCACTTAAAAAAAACGTTGCCAGGACCAGCAGATAGCGTAATGTTTATGTTGCTGGATTTCTACACAGTCAACTGTGGTTCAAGTCCAGGACTTGGCAACTTGAAACTCACACCAAGTGTATATGCATGTGTGCATGCCCAAAAATCCCGAGAGGAGAATAAAGGAGAAGGGGATTGTGGTGTGGCCATACCCCAGGGGTTGACTTCTCACTTTCTGTCTCTCTGTCTCTCTCTGTTTTCTGGGGAGTGCACACGCCCTATAGGAAAACAAACAAACAAACAAACAAAACAAAACCTCTCTATAAAAAACACAGTAACAACAAATATTTGCCAGAGGGAGAGGGAGAAAGTACCTACCAAGGGGGTGTTGTCATGCTGCAATTTCTTCTCATTTATCTATCCCGTTGGGATTTGTGGCACACATATACATGCACCCAGGGTTGTCTTTAAGTCACCATATTCAGGATTCAAACTGCATGGTCAGTCATGAAGGATCTGCCTCCCTTAACCACTAGGCCATGGGGCTAGCCCTCTCCTTCACTTTGCAAGGATAAACTTTCCTTGCAAAGGAATAAGGCACAGAATTCTCTAGGTTGTAGTTTGTTTGTTTTTAAAAGAATTATTCTATTTAACTTTATTTATTTATTTATTTTAATTTGACCAGAGAGGAGGGTGGAGAGAGAGAGAGAGAGAGAGAAAGAGAGAAAGAGAGAGAGAGAAAGTGAGAAAGCAAGCCACCAGTTCTAGGACTTGAACTGTAGTCAGCCATGTAGGAGTCATAGGGCCCTTAACCACCATGCCACCCACCAGCCCCTGTTTTTTTTGTTTTTAATACTTTAAATATTTTACTCCATTATCTTCATTTTTTTAAAAAGAATTTTTTTTATAATTATTTGTCATTATTATTATTGTTTTAAATTTGAACAGAGAAAGAGAGAAAGGGAGGGAAAGTGAGAAAGCAAGTTTCCAGGTCCAGGACTTGAATCATGGCTGGCCATGTGGGAGTCCAGTGCCTTTAACCATGCTTTGGCCATCTGTTCCTGCATGCCATCTACTTAATGTTAGGCTCTTAGCATATTAATCATCGTTGTTTTATATTACTGATCAGGTAATTCCAACATCCCTGCTATAACCAAGTCTGGTTCCAATGCTTGCTCTATCTCTTCAAACTATTTTTTGCCTTTTAGTATGCCTTGTAATTTTTTTTCTTGATAGCCGGACATAGTAAACTGCATAATAGGAACTGCTATAAATAGGTCTTTAGCAATGTGGTGGTGAGGTGTGAGGAGAGCAGAAAGCAGAAGTGTTCTATAATCCTACGAATAGGTCTCACTCTTAGAGAGTCTGTACCTCTGGACTGCAAACTTCGTCTATGCTCCTCAGCCCCCTCAGGTGGGCAGGATGGCTAGAGCAGCTGGAGTTGGCTATTTCCCTCCTCCCAGTGAGATCAGGCTCTGATAAACCCCTGCAATTTAGGCTGTAGTTAAAGAGTTTCCCCTAAGGGCAGACCTTGTTAAGAATAGAATGGTTACTTTTCCCATCGCACTGCTGTAATCACAGTGGAGTTGTCTCTGATATTCACTATAAGAACCTGGGCAAACTCCTGGAAATGAAACTCGTAAGAGTTGGGGGGACTACCCCTGTGACTGGGTCCCTCTAGAGTTCTTGACTCTCAGACTTGTTCACACTGAGCCTCCAACAGTTTGTTAATTACAGTTTAGGCTTCCCTTCTCACACTGGTTCTTGCAAAGGTTTCTGTTTGCGAATTGCTGCTCCTGGAAACTGTAGGTCGATCGGCCTCTGTCTCTCTAGTTCTAGGGGGAGTGGTTTGTCCTGTGACCTCAGTTATTCTGCAGCTCTAAGAAGAGTTGTTGATTTTCAGTCTGTTCAGATTTTTACTTGTTAAGATATAGTGATAATTTCCAAGCCTTTACATGCCTAAACTGCAAAGTGTACTGTCTTTGAAATTTGATATGTATTTAATACAGAATTATACATATATTTTTGGTGCTGACTCTTCAGAATTTGAATTATATTTAAACATAACACATAATAATTAGAACAAACCACCTGTGCATTAGCCACTACGATCACAGGCATAAATCACCTTCCTACATAAGGTTAACTTTTTCATAGTACGGATATTCCCCAACTTATGATGACTCACAAGTGTCTGACTTTATGGTGGTGCAAAAGTAATACACTCTCAGTAGAAACTGATCTTTGAGTACCCACAGAGTCCATCCTTTCTGTATAGTATTTAATAAACTACATGAGGTAGTCAAAGCATTATAAAATAGGCTTGGTGTTAGATGGTTTTGCCCAAGTGTAGGCTAACATTAAGTGTTTTGAGCATATTTTAAAGTCAGCTAGGCTAACAGATTAGGAGTATTAAATTCTATCTTCAGCTTATATTATTTTCAATTTACAGTGGGTTTATCAAGATGTAACCACATCATAAGTCAGGAAGGGTCTATGTTAGAAATGTCATCCAGGGCTGGCCCCATAGCATAGTGATAAAGGGAGCCAGATCCCACATGGCTGACTATGATCTGAGTCCCGGCCCCAGCCCCAGTGGCTTGAAAACCATGCTGAGTGTGCGTACAATCCCTTCTCCTCCACTTCTTCCTTCTGTTGGGAGGAGAATGTCATCTAAATGCTCAAAGAGAGTTAATTCACTGGGTGTTAAAAAACACATAGTAGAGGAGTCAGCCCCTGGCCTGGTGGTTAAGGATACTGGATCTCACATGACTAATCATGTGATTAAGTCCCAGACCTGGTGGCTTAAGAAACACATCGGGCACATGTGCATGCCCAAAATCCTGAAAAGAGGGAAAAAAATGGAGGAGAAGGGATTGCAGTGTGACTAAACCTCATGGGAAGTGTTTTCTTGCCTTTCCCCTCTCTCTGTCTCTCTCCCCCTGAGTGCACGTGCCCTCTGGCAAAATTTAAAACACACACAGACAGAGTAGACATTACCTGCATGTTTATTAACCTTAGGTCACATGGTTCCTTCTTCCTCTAGAGTTACTTAATTTTCATTATTTTTTTAAAAATGATTTATTTAATTTTACTTATCATTATTATTATTTTAAAATTTGCTATAGAACACAGGTACTCACCAGGGAGAGACACATGGGAGGAGAGAGGAGAAAGAAGGAGAGAGAGAGAAAGTGAAAAAGCAAGCTTCCTGGTCTAGGACTCCAACCTAGGTCAGCCATGTGGGAGCTCAGCACCTTAACGATCACACCACCTGCTGGCCCCAAGTTACTTAGTTTTCAAGTTGGGGACCATTTTCTCTGAGACCCCAACTTTTTTTTTTTTTTCTTGTTTCTACTAAACGTAAATTGTTTCAGCAAATTTGGGCATGGAACTCGCCAGACTCTTTCCTATTTCTTCAGAAAGGTTGCACCTTCCTACTTTTATCCAGAACAGCAGGGGCGGGGGGGTGGCGGGGCTCAACAAAGGACAACCAGGACTTTCCAGCTTTCTAACATTTTAATTTAGTGACAGACCTTCGCAAACAAGTGAGCTAAATGTACATTCTCAGACTTATCCCAGGAACAAGCGTCTTCATTCCTTAGGACGGAAAGTGATTTTTTTTTTTTCCTGCTCTAACCCACTATAGCCTGTGGAGACAGAGTGAGTGTGAGGTTTCTTACCCGGGATTGTTGGTGCTTTTGGTAGAACTCGGTCATGTTAAAGTCGTCCGGGTCGACCAGCAGACCTTGCTTACACATCTCGCAGGTCATCACAGCACTCAGATCTGCTCCTTAAATTAGATAAATGATTACATGTTACATATAACCTTGGGTTTGTTTGTGTTGGCCCTTCAGACAGGTGATATTTTGAGAGTGAACTTGTGTGTGTTATGAATGCTGAGCTTCAATGACTTTCATTTAAAGCCAGTCATCTCCTGTAGAAAATGACCTTGAATCTGAGATCCAAAAATTTCCTTTGTAATCATTTATTATGCGAGCTTCATGTAAGTGAAATTCCCATGACTTTTAAATAGCAGGTCTTGCTTTCTATTTCAACATAAACATAATGGTTCATAAAATCGGAATTGCTACATGGAGGCTGGGAGTCCATAACACAGTGCCTACAAAAAGAGAGAATATCAGGCTTTATTTATATTTTTTCTTACAGACCTAACACAGGTCCACATAAATAACCTAGTAAGGACTAGATAGGTAGTAGAAGCTATCCTCAATCGATAGCTAAAAATGTGCCTTTACTGACACGCAGGTGACATTCCCACTTGAGGAAAGTGAAGGAACGAGGGGCCATGTGTGGGTACTAGCTACAGCAAGGTCTAGGGCCAGCAGTGAAGCCTGAGCTCAGTCTCATCTGGGAAGAGAAATATGAGAAGGCGTCCTTTTTGTTATTGTTTTTATACAAACGTGCATTCTAGATCATTATTTTTTCCACTTAACCTATTCCCCAATGCCAAAGTGGAGAAGCAGAACTGTAGCTATTAGATCTAAGCAAACATTCCACCATACATTTTCCCCCCAGTGCAGTTGCTGCATCCTGACGAATGGAGTATTGGTGTTTATTTTATGCATTGGAAAATAAAGGACTTATTAGTTACCTGCATCTATTTGGTAAAGATAGGGCTTGCGCAATTTTATATCCCAGTTCTATTTCCCCACTGGGCATATAAAGAAATAGTAAATAGAGACTTTCAAAGGGCAAGGATAAACAGTAATCCCTTATCTGTATTTTGTTTGCTTGATTTTCTTCTTCTTCTTTTTTTTTTTTAAGTATCACTCAGTAGTGCTTTAGGCCACTGAATGTCCCAGGTGTCTTCTGCTCTAATCCTGTGGAATATATCCATACCAGCATTGGCATTTACAAGCATTTAACAGCATTTTCATGAGACATTTCGTGGGTGCTTTTTCTGTGGTAGATGTTTAATTGGCCCAGATATCTCATAAGATAAAGGCCTGCATGGCAGAGTCTGCTCACACTGTGCTCTCGGGACTGAGTACCTCCCTTGCCATGTGGGGGTGTGTCTTGGGCAGTGGTCCTCTATTTCTCATACCAGGAGAGATGTCTATATATGGGAAGAGTTTCAGGGATGAGGTGGTCGATATGATTATCCTGTGTGTTCATTCTTTGATGAAAAGGCATGTTGTCCTTGTGAGAGACAGGTGTGCTATATACCCTGTCCCCATGAGGGCATGGCAACACCCCATGGGGACAGGGTATAGCTCTAGCTCTCCTGATTGGTCTGGAATAATGATAATTAAGGAGAAGAGCATGGAAGAGAAAAATAGGATCTGGCTATGGGTAAAACGTTTTCAGAGAAGAGCATCTGAAAGATATGACAGCTATTTTCTTTTTATATTTTAAGAGAGATTTTTTGCTATAGGGTGCATGTGCTTACTGGAGAGACAGACAGAGACAGAAACAGAGAAATCACTCCCCAGGGGGGATGGCCATGCCACAATCCCTTCTCCACTTTCCTCTTGGGATTTTGGGCACACGCACACACATGCCCGGCATGAGTTTTAAGCTGCTGGGTCCAAACCGTGTTCAACTACATGGGAGTCCAGCAACGTAACCATTACACCATCTGCTGGTTCCCACAACAGCTATTTGCTAATAGGTGCTCTTTGCATTGAAGGTTCAGGTCTTTTGTTAAACTCGCTCTCATCCCTAAAGCCATGTTTTATAAAACCTGTTCTCTGCCTAGAAAACTTCAGCCAATCTATTAATGTGGCTGTATTTAGGTTATAACTTCCCTGGGGAGTTGAGAAGGGGCTTCACACCCAGTTATAAGATCTGTCATGGAGCTGACAAAACCAGCACATGGAAATCTCTTCATCTAATATGTTCTAGAAAATCAGATTAGTGTTCTTTTCTTATCCCTACTGCAAAAAGGCAGCCTTGCTTAGTTTCTTAGGTAACACCCCTCCACTCCCCCAATGGCAGGGAGTGGAATTGGGTATGCTCCGGGGTCTCTCCCAATGGCCCTTCTGATGGTTTTGGCTGGGGGTCTGCTTGCAGGGCAGCTACTGCCTGCTGGCTGAGGTTCACAGGTGGAATCGTCTTTCCTGTTTCTATCCTCCTGGGAGGCGATCTTAGCATCTCTGCTCGGGCCTTAAGCAGGAGCAGGATTTAAAAGCATAAGTTTCTAGGATTCTTTTCTCAGACTTGAAATAAACTCAGTCCCCCCACCTCCCGCCCATCGTGTGAATCCAGCGCTCACATACAGGAACTCCGGGTCCAGCCGCGTTTGCTGAGCTACCACTTACGGAGGAGGGAGAGGAGGAGAGTGAGCTCTGACGTCTCCGAGGCCCACACTGTGGGGTCTCATATTAATTATATGTCACTGCACGTTTGCCGCTCTGCCTTCCCCACCTACCTGATGTTATTTTCACTTTCAGCCACTTTTTCAGGCATTCTTGGTGAACAAACTGCAGGCTTCCCACGCAGGCGCAAGGCTCCAGGAGGGGGTTGGCTGGGGAACCCCCGGCGAGCTGACAGATGCGGCACAAGTCTCCCTCCTCTTCGGAGTCCTCCTCCAGGAGGCTGAATGGAAAATGCCTGCATGACCGGTAGTCCACACGTGTGCACCTCCCATAAATGCCCAGAGCCCAGAGCACCAATAGGAGAAGGAAGAGGGAGCAGTGACCCCACGTCACTGCTTCTGGGCTTCTGGGCTCCCCCACTCTTCCCTTTGACCTTCCTGAGAATTCCTCCAGATGCGGTCATTGAGAATAGGTACACAGGTCCCTCTCTCCTTTGCAATTATTATTATTCCTAACTCATTTGCACTAATTGCTTTATTGCCAGAGGGTGCATGCACTCGCGTGCATGAGAGAGAGAGAGAACTGTAGCAAAATGGGGTACGATCACTCCTTGGTCCTTTTTCTGCCACTTTCCCATCCTGTCAGGATCCTGGGCATGCATGCTCATGTACCCACGTATTTTTCAAGCCACCGGGGCTGAGATTTGAACCATGGTCAGCATGGGACTGGTTCTTCTGCATAGGGTTGAACCACTATGCTCTGGAACCAGCTATTGTTGTTATTATTATTTTAAAGTTAACTTATTTATCTCTTCCATGAGAGGGAGAGACAGTGCCCCCAGCAGGATCTCGATGCCCTGGTCTACCCCAGCCTCAACCAGGGCGTGGTGGCTACCCTCTCATCATGGGTGGATGCATGCACTTGGTACAGTCAGAGAGGTCTTCAGACTTGAACCAGAACCTTTCCATGGGGGTCGGCTTGAAGGTTTTACTGCTGCGCCACTGTCCAGCCCCTCCTTTGTAGTTACTGATAGGTGTGAGCTGACGAGGAGAATCACACTACCCCCATAAGGAAGTGGTGAGGGATAGAAATTGGGGGGAAGGCTGAGAGCCCCTCTCTCTGCCATAGCTGCCGCTGTGAGGAGTAGGAGGTAGGTGTGATATTATATGTTGGTGAGTGCATGGGACTCGTGGTCAGGGGACCTGGGTTTGGGGACTATTTCGGACACTTAGAACTCTGTCACATGACCTTGGACAAGGTCCTTACTCTCCCCGGGACTCTGTTTCCTTATGTGTAAAATGAGAGTCAAGGTGCTAACACTACTGCCACTATATTTCACAGGGTTGGGGTAGACGGGATGCGCGAGGGTGGTACAGGCTATAAAGTGCAGCCAGTGTCTGGCAGAGTTCGTGCCCTTAAACCACTCGACCAAAGCAGGTTGGAGGAATGACGAGCCAACAAAACTGGTCGTGAGCTCACCAATAACAACAGCTGGCAGCAGATTCTGTCAGCATTCCAGAATGCTGGCTGCAAGAATCTAATGAAAACAGAAATCTCTATAGAAAATATTAGCATCTAATAAATGACGAGAGAAGAATAACTGTTCAATGTTCATGCTGGGAAGTTCTTAGACGCCTAAGGCTATTTTTTCATCTTTCTTTAGAATCCTCCTGGGGCTGGAGACTGTCTGGTCAAGGAACAGAAAACTGGTTAGAGACTAAAGTCAAAGAAAGGTTGTAAAATGGACATTGCTCTGTGTATACAAATATGGGCACAGTTTCTTTGGGGAATTATTTTATTATTATTTTCTTAAATTTGACCAGAGAGAGAGAGAGAGAAAGTGAGAAAGTAAGCCACCAGGTCTGAGACTCGAACTGTGGTTGGCCACGGAGGAGTCTGGTGCCTTAACCGCCATCTAACTGCTGGCCCCATATACTGTTTCTAAAGGGACCTTTTCCACAATTAAGGGAAGCACAGTGAAAAAGAGTGGAATTATACTTTTCCATTAAATGCATTTTGAAAAATGGAAAAATATTTTTGACAGGGAGAGTTGAATACATTTCAGTATATCCCACATTGTCATCAATAAGCAGGAAGAACAAGTATAGATTGAAGCAAACACCCCACCTGATGAAGACAGACTACGGGCTACCTAGCAAGTTGGGAGAAAGTGGGCAGAAAAGTGGCAGAAGGATTTTAATCGGTGATCAATATCGGTGCTTTCTAAAGGGTAATAAGTGATCATCAGTCTCACTGCAGGGACTTCAAACAGCTTCCTGGGCCCTACCCTTAGAGATTCAGTACCCGGGTCTCAGGAATCTGAATATTCTGCTGGGCCTCCAGATCCAAGGACCACTAAATAGTAGAACAAAGGTTCTACGGCAAATTTTTTATAGTCTGTAAATACATGACTCCTAACGTAAACAAGGCTCACCATTTTCTTGAAAGTTTTAGTGGAAATCAAAGGGCTATTTCATTTAAACATTTTTCTCCTTTACAACTAGAAGTGAAGATACAGAAAAGAACATGAATCAGGGACCAGCAGTTGGCATAATGGCTATGTCGCTGGACTCCCAAGTAGTCGACTGTGGTTCGAGTCCCATACCCGGTGGCTTAATCACGCTGGGCACATGTGCCTGTGTGCCCAAGATCCCGAGAGGAGAATGGAGGAGAAGGGATTGTGGTATGGCCATCCCCCGGGCGGTGATTTCTCACTTTTTGTCTGTCTCTCTCTGTCTTTCTGGTAAGCGCATGTGCCCTATAGCAAAAAAACCTCTCAGGAAAAAAAAAAAAAAAGAACATGAAGCATAGTCTCTTAAAAAAATAATAAAGAAAGGAACTCTCCACAAAGTCTGACATTTAAAAAAAAGTTTATGAACATCATTCATTTACACTAAACCTCCCATTTGGGGAAGAAGTCACAGAGAAAACACGTTATCCTAAGTAATTAACCATGGCTATGGTCAAAAAGAGGAATGATCAAATTACAAAAGATACATTAAATATAAAATAAGCAGCCCTTGGGACCAGCAGTTAGCGTAATGGCTCTGTCGCTGGACTCTCATGTAGTCGACCGTGGTTCGAGTCCCGGACCCGGTGGCTTAAACTCATGCCGGGCGCGTGTGTGTGCGTGCCCAAGATCCCGAGAGGAGAATGGAGGAGAAGGGATTGCGGTGTGGCCATCCATCCCCCCTGGGGGGTGATTTCTCACTTTCTATCTCTCTGTCTGTCTGTCTGGCGAACGCACGTGCCCTATAGCCAAAACAAAACAAAACAAAACAAAACAAAACAAAAAAACCTCTCCAAAAAAAAATAAGCAGCCCTTAAAAAAAGTATTTAACACTGTAAGATAAGAAAACTACCAAAAGTACAGGTTTGGAAAGAATGAGACAAAACTGTTATTTACAGTTGTAATGCTTTTCTAGATAGAAAACCCCAAACTAATCTATAGACAAAATATGGAATTAATAAGACGGTTTAACAAAAATACAAAGAAAATATATAGTTGCTTGCATACCTATACATCAGAAATAGAATTAAAATTGGAATTAAAATATTAGTTCAATAGCAAACGACGACGACAAATAAAAAGCCTAGAGATAAATCACATGAGGGACTTTGGTGGAGAAAATCACAGAACACATTGGAAGGCATTAACACACACATACAAATGAAAGGCTCCATGATACTCATCAGAGGGAGACTCAGCACCTCAAGGGCGTCAATTCTCCCAGAATCATCTATAGATTAAATTGCAATTCCATAAACATTTCAATAAGATGATTTATTCTTTTTAACATTATTTATTTATTTATTTATTTATTTTTAATTTGCCAGAGGGCATGGATACTGGCTAGAGAAAGACAAAGGGAGGGAGAGAGAAAGATTGGAAAAATAAGAAAGTACCCCCTATGGGGCATGGTCACACCACAATCCCTTCTCCATTTCTCTGTCCTTTTGGGATTTTGGGCACACATGTACATGTGCCCAGCATATTTTTCAAATTGCCAGGTCTGGGACTCACACCCCTCAGTTGGCCATGTGGAACCCAACTGCCTTAACCATCTGACCCCAGGTTCTTAAGTATATGGTCAAGGACTCTTTAGAGAACAAAGAGGAGAGGGAGGCTTTGAAACATCGCTTACCAAAACTTATAAAATTGCAGACATTAAAATGGCATGATATTAGTCAAAAAAGACCAGTGGGACAGAACAGAGAGCCCTGAGACAGACTTGCTCGTGTGCAGGCATGCCATGCAGGACACCGGCAGCCATGCAGATTTGGCAGGGGAAATACTGGGATCATTGGGTATTCATAAAAAAAAAAAAAAATGAAGCTTACCTCACACCATACATTACAAGTCAATTCACATTCAAGTCACATTAAATCCTAAATGTACAAAGTAAAACTAGAGATTTTAGGAGAAAATAGGAAGAGCACCATAATGACCTCAGGTTAGGACACCGGCAGCCATGCAGATTTGGCAGGGGAAATACTGGGATCATTGGGTATTCATAAAAAAAAAAAAAAATGAAGCTTACCTCACACCATACATTACAAGTCAATTCACATTCAAGTCACATTAAATCCTAAATGTACAAAGTAAAACTAGAGATTTTAGGAGAAAATAGGAAGAGCACCATAATGACCTCAGGTTTGGGAAGAATTTCTTAATCAAGACCAGCTACAGATCGTGACTCATAAAGAAGATGAACGTGTGTGACTACATTAAGATTTTGTTTCCATATAAAGACATCATAAAGAAAAAGACAAATTGGGGAAAGATATTTCCAACATCTAACTGTCAAAGGATTAGATTGTTAGCCAGAGTATATTAAGGACTCCTTGAAAGAAGAAAAGAAAAAGAAAGGAAAAAAAAAAAAGGAAAAAAAGTGTTCTAAGAGAAAAATGGGCAGGAGACATGAGTAAGAAATAGGTTTCCTATTGTGTTTGTCATAATAAGAAACACTAGTGATCGTTTAATATTTAAAAGAGCACGTAAAATCCCTAACTCATTAATAGTCATAAAAATGCAAATCGAAGACACAGTGTCATTTGATTCCCACCAGACTGGCAAATTTGAAGAGCCAATCAATGTAAGTGATGTCAAGGATATACAACATCAGACATCAGTGGTGAGACAATAAATTGGTATTACTTAGTACAGTGGAAGATGAGCAACCTGACAGTCCAGCAATTCCAGTTCTAGACAAAATATCCCAGAGAACTCTGCCCACATACACCAGGAGACATTTACAAGAATGTTCATGCAGTGCTGTTTACAGAAAACAGTAAGCTGCCCAAATGCCCATGGGCAGGAGAATGGCTGAATTGTGGTATATTCGTACAACTGGTGAACGTGGACAAACTAAAGCCAAAAATTTCAACAAGATGCATCTCACTAATTATGTAAGGGGAAAAAGCAAGTCGTGGAGAATAAAGATTCTATTTCTATAGGGTCCTAAAATATTGGTAACATTTCTACAGAGTTCGGAAAGACACAAAATGTATTGTTTAGTAATACATATATACATATGATAAAAGGATACAGCAAAACCCCTCAAGGTACAACAAAACAAAAAGCAAAGGAGTAATAAACGTAAGGCAGGGATGGTGGGGTAGTTGGAGGAGGAGGAGATTAAGTGGGTAAAGGGCTCATTCCAGTGTGTCAAGAATGTGGGACCAGGGGACCAGCAGTTAGCATAATGGCTATGTCGCTGGACTCCCATGTGGTTGACCGCGGTTTGAGTCTAGGACCCGGTGGCTTAAACTCACGCCGGGCGTGTGTGATGCGTGCCCAAGATCCTGAGAGGAGATGGAGAAGGGACTGCGACGTGACCATCCCCTCCGGCGGCTGACTTCTTGCTTTCTGTCTCTCTGCCTCTCTCTGTCCTTCTGGTGACTGCATGCACCCTATGGCAAAAACCTCTCCAAAAAAAAAAAAGAAAAAAGAAAAAAAAAAAAGAATGTGGGACCAGCAAATGGCATAATGGTTATGTTGTTGAACTCCCACATGGGTGATCACGGTTCACCCATGAACTAGACTCAGCCTCTTGAAATTCATGCTAGGTACATGTGCTGTGTGCCCAAAATCTCAAGAGGAGAATGGAGGAGAAGGGACTACAACGTGGCCATCCCCCCTGGAGGGTGATTTCTCATTTTCTGTCTCTTTCTTCTGTGAGTGCATGTGCCCTACAGCAAAAATCTCTCTTAAAAAACAAAACAAAAAGCCAAAGAACGTTCTGATAGCTGGTGGGCACAGGGATGTCTGGAATATTTTTTCCTTTTTTTTTTTTTAACTCTCTGAAGTGTACATATATTGGATACTTATTTGTACATGTTAAAGTGACTGAGAGAAAAACTCATTTTATTTTTAATTGCTAGAAGGCATGTATGCTTGCCAGAGACAGAGAGACTGACAGAGAGGCCAGGGAGAGAGGGAGAAAGCACCTCCCAATGAGGTGTGTCTCGCTGCAATCCCTTCTCCTCCATTTCTCCATCCTGCTGAGGATGGGCCTGGTCTATATTTCAATCTACTGGGACTGAGGTTCTAACCCTGCAGTTGGCCATGTGGGATCTGTCTTCCTTAATTGCTATGCTAGGGGGCAGACCTAAGGGAAACTTTTAAAAGAGCTAAATGGTACTGAAAAATGGCCTTGAAATATTAAAGTAAGGCATATTATAAAACAAAAGGAACTGATGTTTACTAAGTATTGCATTTATATGCAAAGATAAGAGACTAGAAAGGAGATGTTTAATGGTGCTTATCTCTGGATGATGGGGGTTACAGGTGATTTTCCTTTTAAGTCTGTATTTTTAATATTTCCTAAAATGAACATCTTTGAAATAATAAGAAATGCATAAGGCTTATTATGTATAAGAAGGAGACCATCTGATAAACTAAGTACATGAATAATAGCCTTTTAATGCATTATCATGCCTAGAAGCGGACGCATTTTAAAATAAATTATTTTTAGTCTCAAAGCATCACTTTGGTATGGTAGAAATCCAGACTTCTGAGAAGTAGGTCTGAAGTCGTATTTTTGGGTAGGTGAGGGTGGGTGGGTGTGGGTCTTTTGGCCTTTAACCATGGGTAAATCTGGTACCTTGCTTAATATGGAAAAGAAAAAGTACTGGGCCAGCCTTGTAGCATACGGGGTAAGCTCTGTACATAGGAAACTGGACTCCGCATGGCCAATTATGGTTCAAGTCCTGGCCCCAGTAGCATGAAAAACACACAGGACAATTTTGTGTGTCTGGGATCCTGAAAGGATGGAGAAACGGAGGAAAAGAATTATGGCGGGGGCCGGCAGGTAGTGTGGTGTTTAAGAGCACTAGATTCCCACATGACTGCCTGTGGTTCGGGTCCTGGACCTGGCGGCTTGCTTTCTCACTTTCCCTCTCTCTCTTTCTCTCTCCCTCTCTTTCTCTCTCTCCTACTCCGGTCAAAGTAAAATAAATAACTACCTAAATAAAAGTTAAATAAAATAATTCTTAAAAAAACAATTATAGTGTAATCATACCCCACTGGGGGCTGCTTTCTCTCTCTCTCTTTCTTTCTAATGAGCACACTTCAAAGAAAGAAAATAATAATAATAATAATAATAATAATAAAGTACTGCTAAATACAAAATTACTTCACTATGGAGTTAGATAAATGACATATAGGAGTATGTATACATTCTATATGTCATCTTTCCTTCCATTTTATGTATTTAATTCATCGCCATGGAATTTTACAACTTACGAATGAGAATCAGAATATTTAATGGTCACACCAACATACACAAGGAGAGTTCACATTCCAAGAATCAGTTTCCAGATTGGTAAAGCCAAGCTCAGGGCATGGTAAACACCTACCATAAATGAAGCCCAACAGGTTGTTTCATGATGGCTTTACAAAGTATCAAATATCATAGCTGTGCAAGATCCCCACAACCATCTCACAAGCAAGGAAAGATCAAAGAAAAGGGCAATTCAAAAAAAATCTTCTCTCTTTTTCTCATGCATGAGGAAGCGCACATAAAATGGAAGCAGTGGTTACCCCAGCAAGGCCTTTGGAGAACGGAGGTAACTATGGTAACTCAGAATGGTCTTTTAGTTTGGAAGGTTCAAATTCTAGAACTGTTGGTTGGATTGGTGATAAGTCCCACGAGGGAGAGCTGTGAACTTCAAGTGCTGAACGGTTCATTCTCTGGGGAGATAACAACCTTTTCCTAAAAAAATCTTGGTTCTTAATTGCCTGTGAGCAGAGATAACCCTATGTAACAGCCAGAAACAGTAATACCAAGCAAAGTTGCCCTTTGTAATGTTACGGTATTCAGGGAAAAACATTTTGGGAATACTGAAAAATTGAGCCAAAACATTGAACTTTTTCAATACATACATATATTTTAAGAGGCACCAAATAGATAGCGTCTCAAAATAAACCACCTTTAAACTATTAAGGGTGGGCCTATTTTTGATTTAAAAGTATTATGAATCTCTAATGAAAGTAATGCTTATTTCAGCATTGGAAAATGGAAAAAATGTATATTTATTTGTATATATAATTAAGACAATTTCTCACCTTTCTTGTAGTTTTTTGAGTTTCTCGGGATCTGCCTTTATCTTAGTGACCTCTTTTTCATCTGTTAAATCAGAGGCTGACGTTCTATTATCATTTTGATTTGGGAAATCAGACACTGCAAAGAAAGTAAAAGGTAAATTTTCTTGCAGGGACCTCGGCACATGCAAGTGGCCTTGTAAGTTCGTTCTTGCTGGAGAGGAGCTGGAAGAATCCACTAAGGACAAGCTGCTTTGAGCAGTTAGTAAGAAGTCTTCTGTACATAGCGGAGCCCCCTGAGGCTGGCTTGTTAAAGTAGTATCTTCTGTTTCCCTGACATCAAATTCGAGAGCACTGTTCACTGGAAAATAACTGTGGTTTTCAGCACTGGCAAATGGATTCCTACTTCGAATGGGGGACAGCGGTCGGCGAATATTAAACCTTGGGTTCCCCTCTGAGTCTGAACTGTAAACTAAAGTAGATGACATGGATGAGTCTACTGAAGTATCATTTCTCAGAGCAGAATGCACTAATGATTCAGGAGTGTTATAAGATGAATTTGTTGATGATCTTGGAGCTGCTGGTCTATCAGAAAGAAAGCAGTCAAGTGAATTCCTAGAACCGTTTAGATAGTCTTGCCAATCCTTCTCATAGTCATGGGTACCAGGCTCACCTCTCATAGAAATAGACTCACTAGAGGCATTTTCAGCATCAAGACCATCATCTTGTCTGGGCTTCAATTTGGTGTTCCATGGATGACAGGTCTTTTCACTGCCACAACTATCATTCTCTTTAGCAGACTCCCCATCAGGTAGCCCAGGATCTTGGGACATCCTTTGCCCAACAGAAGGCTGACCTGTCACTGGCTCCAATGCATTGCTTATTCTTAATAAGCCATGACTGGGCCCACCTCTTCTGAAAGAATTGCCTTTGCAATTCTCAGCATTCTCTTCAAAATTTTTATTTTTGGCTTGAAGGGTTGATGTTCTAAGAAATCTACTTCTTTTATGACTGGAAGGAGACCGGGGTGGGTACATACCAACCAACAGTAGTTCTTCTTCTGCTTGGGTTTCCTCTTCAGTCTCATCACTTTCTCTTTCAGTATTTAATGATAATGTGGCATAAAAATCTTCATCTCTGAACCTAAATGGCACCCTTCTTGGCCCTCCCATGGTGGCAGATGAGAGTGGTGACCCCAAGGACTCACTCAACACTTGAGGACTATTTGCTCCTTGGAAGGCCTGGGACAGGGCTGGATGTGACTCATTCTGGGAAAGGGCACTTAAATCTCCTTTTTTGGCTCTCTCTGAAGGATTCTCAGCTGTTGTCATCAGCTGTGAGGATGGGGCTAAGTTTCTTCTCTCTTGAGTTGGCCTCTTCAACTTAGTGTCACCTGCCCACACTGGGCTATCTTGTTGAACTACTGGATCTGCATTGAGAAAAGACAAATTTATCATTTTGTTATGGATGAAATCCCTCTAACATCATGAAAGTCCATTCAAGGCAACAAACAAGCCCTGGAGAAGAAACTATGCTGGAGGTACAAGGGTGAGTTCAGTGGCTTCATCTGACTGCTACTGAATTCTTTGTTTCCCTAGAGACCAAGCTGGCTCTGAGGAAAGGTGGTGACCCTGACGATATAGATTCTTCCTGCAGAGGCTTCAGGAAGACTGGTCCAGGCCCAGGTTCAGTTGGGGTTGATGATGGGTAAACTTCTCACTAAATACTGGTTTGCATTTCATATTTATTTAATAGGAAAAACAGTACTCCAGGAATGACTTTTATAAAAACCACCAGTCTTTTCTTGTCCAAACTGATTCAACATATATTTATGACATCCTTACTTCACATGAGCTTTCCAAAAAGTTAGGAATGTACAGTTTATCATGGCAGACTGGGAAGGGGGCTCTGGAAGCTGTCTACCCAGGCATGCTGATGATTTGGGTCATGTTTACTCTATATTTTTTTCTTTTTGGAGAGGTTTTCACTATAGGGCATGTGCGCTTGCCAGACAGACAGAGAGAGACATAGAGACAGAAAGTGAGAAATCACCCCCCAGGGAGGATGGTCACGCCGCAATCCCTTCTCCTCCATTCTCCTCTCGGGATCTTGGGCACGCACGCACACACGCCCGGCGTGAGTTTTAAGCCACCGGGTCCGGGACGCGAACCGCGGTTGACTATGTGGGAGTCCAGCGACATAGCCATTACACTAACTGCTGGTTCCCGGTCATGTTTACTATTTAGTGAAAATAAAAATTGTAAGTCATGATTCATGATCTCTTCTTTGTCACTAGCCCCTAGTCAATCGATAATCTCTGGAATACCCAGCATCTCAGCACGCCTGATGCTAAGTATGAGGAGATGTAGAGAAAAGAGAGAGATAAAGTGTCTAAGTGAGAAGGAATTGCTTTTGATGAAATCACTTATTCAACACTTGCCTTATAAAAACAACCAATGAGTGGGTCAGAGGTTTGCCAACAGCATAACACACATTTAAGCCTCCCAGCCCTCTGAAATAGGTATTGTAATCATGCCACATTATAATTGAGGGTTCTGAGGCATAAGGGCACACAACTAGCCCAAGACCATATTTCTAATAAGTGATGGCATGAACATTTGAACCAAGCCAGCTTGATACTAGGGTTTGTGTTCTTAACCACTACCCTGTGTTATCCCTTAAGAAGCTGGCTGGACTTCAACTTCCTTGTGAAAATGGAGATCCCTTGACTTCATTGTGATGTGTGTGTGCTGTCGATGTGGGATGGAACTGAAAGTACTTTCCTCATTCCGCTTCCTTTATTCCCTACTGACATTGGCCTTCCTCTGTCCCTCTCTCTGCTGTTCTGTGGGGGCCTCTGGACAAGACTTCACTGTCCTTATCATTCTGTTTTGAAAGTGGTTCACCCTGCAGGGTGGACAGGATTCCGCAGGGTTAGGGAAGGTCTATGTGCTAACAGCTCTGGCTGGTGAAATGCAAATTCTCAGAGCGTCCAGCTCGGCTGAGGGCAGAGTCAATACTGACTGACTTTAATTGACACACCTCACAAGGGAGCCCCAGTTTGAGTCTCTAATGTCCTAATACTCCATAAGCTGCTTTTATCGTTCACTGCATGGGACACTCAGTGACACAGTGTGGATCTTTACTCATCGGCTCTTGGAGAAATCTGTTAAACTCTCCCCTCAGGCTCCTCATGAGTTTTTATAAACCCCAGTAAGGATGAATCCATGATTCAAGGACACTTCGAGTATCTGGCTGGATAAGCGCCGGAGTGGAGCCGGGATGCCCAGCCTGATCCACATTTTGGGGAACAAATATTTCTATATAACCAACTGAACTCTTTTGATTACTTTTTTTCAGGAAAACACAAATGATATGAGAGTTGGAAGTATACACTCCAAGGCTGACTACTTTATGTTTTGAATTTGATGAGGGGTCTCAGAATCAGCCAGGGAGGCTTATGAAAGATAGAGACTGGGAACTCAACAGGAACACCTGCTTCTTTCTTAGATGCCACCACGCTGTCACAGGGTGACGCTGGCTTCTGGTGCGGGAGAAGTCCCAGGCTACGTGTTGTACTGCAGCTCCTGCGGATCCCTGAAACACGTCAGAGGACATGCCTTCACCTTTCTTTGTCACAGTTGTCTTCCTCTTTAAAAATTCAGTCAGAGCTTCTCTGGTGCATGTACGCGTGTATGTGTGTGTGCGTGTGTGTGTGTGTGTATGCATGTGTATGTGTGTATGTGTGTGTGTATATGTGTGTGTGTTTTCCCTAAAGGTGGCAGACTGTGTCATTCTATATTTATGCCATTTTAACCATATTTTTTGTGTCTATCAGAGAGCGAGCAGATTTCAGTAGTGCTCGGGCTGGGAATAAACACTCAATTTGGTATGCAGGGATGTGCTATTCATAGACCAGGCACTGCAGAGGCAACCAGGGCTGCTCGGAGGCCTTGCCTGGGCCCCAGCTAGGAATGGAGTGCCTGCCATCTCCAGGGGTTCTAGGTGCAACGAAATACAACCCCAAGAAGTATCTGCCCACCCTAAGAGGATGCCTCTGGTCTGGACTTCTTTGTGTGCCTTACAGTTGTTTCTTCCCAACCGACAGCTGCATTTTAAAAATTTTACCCCTCTGATTATAAAAGTGGTCTATGATTATTGGAGGAAATTTGGAAACTATAGAAGAGGATGAAGAAAAAAGAAAATCACCTATAATCCAAATCTCAGATGGTCATTGCTACCGTTCTGTAATTCAGGACGGGGATGCAGACACCAAACCCTGGGCTATTTTCATGCTACAGTAATGCTTTGGCTCAGCATTGGAACATGGATTAGCACCCTTAGGGGAGTGTGTATGCTGTGGCTTACCACAGACCTCAGAACACCTGTTACATCTCTCCTGCCACACCCAGCTGCTCCGTAAAGGCATTTGAATTTACAACCCAGGGCTCTCTTACCTAGATACATTAAAAAAGGGGGGGGGGGAGATATTTGCATGCATGCAACTTTATGTCCTGCTTTATTTTCTTTCTTTCTTTTTTCTTTTAATTTTGTCAGAGGGCATGTGCACTGGCCAGAGAGAGACAGAAAGAGAGGGAGAGAAAGCACTCCCAGTGGGGTATGGTCACACTGCAATCCCTTCTCCTTCATCTCTCCATCCTGTCAGGATTTGGGGCACACACGTGCATCTGATGTGTTTTCCTTCTTCTTCTATGTTTTTTAGATTTTGCTATATGGTGCATGTGCTCACTAGAGAGACAGACAGAGACAGAGAGACAGAAAGTGAGAAATCTGCCCTCCCCCGCAGCAGGGATAGCCACACCGCAATCCCTTCTCCTCCATTCTCCTTTCAGGACTTGGTGCACACACATGCATGTAAGTCTCAAGCCTTTGGGTCTGGGACTCGAACCTCGGTCAGCCATGCGGAAGTCCAGCACCTCATCCACCACACCATCTGCTGACCCCCTCATGTGTTTTTCAAGCCTCTGGATCTGGGACTTGAGTCTCAGGGTTGACCATGAGTACTGTCCTGCTTTCTTTCTCTAAATATTTTATTGTGAGCATCACCTCATGCCGTTAATTATTCTTACAGAATATGGTAATAATTGTAGTACAAGGATATATTATATAAATATATCATAAGTTGTTGAACTCCTTCCCTACTCTTGGATATAGAGATTTTTTTTTTTTTGAGAGGTTTTGGCCATAGGGCGCATGCGCTCGCCAGACAGACAGAGAGATAGAGAGACAGAAAGCGAGAAATCACCCTCCCAGGGGGGATGGCCATGCTGCAATCCTTTCTCCTCCATTCTCCTCTCAGGATCTTGGGCACACACGCACACATGCCCACCGTGAGTTTTAAGCCACCGGGTCCAGGACGCGAACCGCAGTCGACTACATGGGAGTCCAATGACACAGACATTACACTAACTGCTGGTCCCGAGATTGTTTTGAAGGTTTTTGTCTGTCATGGATTATTATGCTGTGATAAATATCATTCCTCATCCTTCTTTGACTGCATGTCTTCTTCTAGATTCATGGACGTGGAATTCTAGGTCAAAAAGTAAGAACTCTGTAATGGCCTTTGACACATGTGGTCAAATTCCTTTCTGGACAGTTTGTACTAAACTGCCCTACAGGTAGTTACAGAAGCGTCCTTCTCATAACTATGTCACCAGCAATCCATATCAACAGTACCTGACACAAAAGTGCCCAGGAAATGGTAGTCGTTAGTTTCAGTATCAGTATTAAATATTGCTTTAAAGGTCTCAACTGACTTGGCAGTCTAAATTTATCTCAAGTACATCTATTACTTACTGAGATGAATCTTGTTTTTTTTTTCTTTTTACTAGCTGCTTATAGTCCAGCTACAAAATTGTTTTTTTATGCTCTTTTTCCATTTTTCTGTAGGTATTTGTGTCTTTCTTACTGGTTTACAAGAGTTTTCTGTATATTATCTTTATAATATTTGCTTCAAACTTCTCACCGATATAATTCAAATTATCCAACTTCTACTACAATTTATGCAAACCACTTTAGAATGTGAGAAAAAGAACTAAAGAGAGACTATGGAGGAAAACACAGGAGCCCTGGGTAAAACACAGACTTGGGACAAATTCCCACTGGGTCTCAGGATAGTGAAGGATGTCTCCTAGGTACAGATGGGGGATCATATGAACCCCAGGGGTCCAGAAATGTTTTAGGAATAAAGAATTGCACTTTTCAAATAATATTCAAGAGTTCACTGAGGGCCACTGGGGAGGTGGTCAGGGAGAAACTAACAACAGTTCAGTGCATACTATGTAGACCTACTGTGTGCTGTCTGCTGGTCAGTCTGCTGTTTCTCTTATTGTAACAATGTGATGCAACAGATTTCATTATTTCTATATCAAGATAGGGAAGAGTAGTCTAGAATGGCTACTTAGCCACTCAAGACTCTGCTGCTAGGAGGAAGCTCTGGAATGAGTCTGCCCGTAGCTCATGCCCTTCCCAGCAGAGGTATTCATCACTGGGACTCCTCTGGCCTCCTTGCTACAGATCCATGTGTGCTCTAACTGTCCCTAATGCCAAACCATCCAAATACTACCATGTTCTTCTACAGTTACACGAGGGGACCGTGAACCCTTTGGGGAAAAATGAAATTAAAGTACAAGTTCATTTTGGTGCAACACTTTTTGAGATTCGTCCATAGTTTTTCCATAATATGCATTTTCCTGAAATTTTTTAAGACCCCATGCATATGTCCACTACCATATATGCCACATTTAGAATAAAGGCTACTGCATTCATTTGGTAACTATAAGATGTGATGCTCAGAGGCTTTTCTAAGCGGAAGAACAGGTACATGGCATGGACAGCTATGAGTGCTGCTGTCTTTGTCCCCGGGGGGCTCTGTAGGTCCATTCTCTTTTCTTTCCTGTCCCATAGGATAGGATAGATGAGCAGCAGGACAAAAGAGCAGCCCGGTTTGGACCTCAGGATAGATGCTCAGGACTGGGGCCTAGAAAGAGGAGGTCTCTACCAAATCAGTGTTTTGAAATAAAGCATGTATCTGTTTTGATGTTATTTCTTACATACTAGGTTATTGTGGCTACGATCGCTGGGATCGGAGGGAAGAGAGTCCCTTCGGGAGGCGCGCAGTCTGCACCCAGACATCTGTCCTCTCTTCCTGGGAGGCGAGTGGGCACTGTTGGCTGGGTGAGGCATTCTCAGAGCTACAGACTGCTTCTCCGCGTCCCCACCAGCCCCCACCCAAATGTCTTCTCAGGAAGTGGCAAGGTGGCACCCACTCAGAATCACGCAGTGGGCTGGTCCCATGGTTTGGTGGTTTAGAGAGCTAGGCCTTATATGGCCAACTGCATGGTTCAGAGCCTGGCCCTGGTAGCTTGAAAAACACACCGGGCACATGTGCACGTATGCCCTAAATCCTGACAGGATGGAGACATGGAAGAGAAGGGACTGTGGTATGACCAAGTCTCATCAAAGGTTGTGGGGGTGCATTTTCCCTTGCCCGTGTGCCCTCTGGCAATTTTTTTTTTTTTAAAAAGCATGCACTGTCACACTTATGGAGAAACGAGCGGAGGGAAATAAAAGATAAACTCCTCACCCCTTTTCCCACCAGCCTCCATTGGAGAAAACACACACACTCCTAGATCAAATAGTTTGCTTCGAAAATCTTTTAAGAGTTTCTTTTTTCTGTTTCTTTCTTTTTAGCTTGTTATAAAGGGCTTGTGTTCTCTCTGGAGGGAGACAGACAGAGAGAGAAAAATGAAAAATCACTTTCCAGGGTGCTGACCATGCTGCAATCCCTTCCTCCATTTCCTCTTAGGATTTTGGGCATGCACACAAGTGTGCCTGGTGTGTTTTTCAAGTCACTGAGTCTGGGGAATCGAACTGCAGAGCAGGCCACATGGGATCCAGCCACCTTAACCTCTGTGCCATCTACCAGCCCTTATGAGTCTCATTTTAAGGTATACTCTCCTTCACATGAACACACTAGTGTCCAGAAATTATAAAGAATTCACCAGGTAACAGCACAAAGCTAGTCCTTTTCTCTGAGGACTGAGGTGTGGGAGCCACGGGTCCTTACCTGCCCTCCGGAGAGCTGGCGCCTTCCCCAGCAGCTGTGGTGCCTGTCTGCTTCTGTCCCCAGATGCTCCTGGGCTATGTAATTCTGGGCTGACTGTCAATCTCCCCAGGTTTGGCCTCCTCTTTCTTGATAAAATCTTTGGTTTTATCAAAGGTGCTGCTGAAAGGTGCAAAATCTTTTCAATAATTAATTTTCACAGGAAAACATCTTCCATATAAAAAAGGCTCAAAGGATGGGAGGGAGAGGGCAGTTAAGAGAGTGGACCCAGGAGGTCAGAGAAGGGGTGGACTTGAACCTGGTTCCACTATCTTGTAGTCATGTGAGCTTGGGCAAGTCGCTTCACCTCTCGAAGCTTCAGTTTCCCACCTGCTACATGGAAATAAAGACGTCTATAGCACAGGCTGATACCTGGGGTCTTTCCTTTCACAGAGGAGTTTCTAGCTTCCAATTCAGAGGTATTGGGGTGGGCCAGCCGGTAACACTATCAAGACCTCTTTATAGTTTGGATACATGTGGCCCTGCTCCCCAAGGCTTGAATCACAATTTATTTTGTACATACATGTTTATATTCTCAGGTTACTTGTTAGCAACAAACTTGACCTTACAGAAAGGTTTGAAATATCTGCCTGGAAATGATCCTTTTCTTTTTTTCTTTTTTCTTTTTCTTTATTTAGGGCTAGTGCAATCACAGGGGTACAGAAAGGGGATGAGAAATCACTTCCCGGGGGGATAGCCACACTGTAACCCTCCATTCTTCCCTCAGAATTTTGGGGACAAATGCACATGTACCCCACATTTTTCAAGCCACTAGGTCTGGGACTAGAACCACACAGCTGGCCATGTGGGATCCAGCACCTTAACCTCTATGCTACCTGCTGGCCAAGATCACCCACCTTTTCACTTCCCTCTGTCCTACCCAGCGCTATGCTGAATTGACAGGCTCATAGGAAGACAGTAGAAGGAGTGTTCCTATGAGCTGAGTTCCCAATGACCATTTTCTTTTCAAGTTTATTTATTTATTTTTAATGTTTTTGTCATAGGGCACATGCACTCACCAGAGAGAGAGAGAGAGAGACGGTGAGAGGCAAAGTGAGAAATCATCTCCCCTATACCCCCTTGGGGGAAGGTTCTGCTGTTTGGAGTGTGCAGGAAATTTGAATATCCTTCTGGGATTCCTACTGGGAATCAAAATGGAATATTGAAACCAGGACCAGGTCTTGATTTACTGGACTTGGCCTGAGCTTAAGTTTGCCCTTCCCTGGTCCTCCCACGGCTACCTCTGTCAGTCAGGCGAGAAGCAAGAGGCAGTGAATGATTTCTGAACTGAGGGGGGATAACCACCTGGATTAAAGGAGTGCAACTCTTGGTAGTAAGAAAGTGCCTCCCCCATTTCCGCTGTAGGGGTTCCTTCCTGCAAAGCACCTGATCCCTCTTGCTCTCACCTTCCTTCTCTTACTCCCCTTCTGGTCAGTAAAATCATGTCTAGCCACCACCGTATCCTCCAAAGAAGACATTCTCATTTTCCAAAGAACTTCCACTCTCTTCTCTCCTTTCTGCTGACATCTACAACCTCTCTGGGTTCCACTAACTTGTCCTAAGCTGGAGCAGACACCATCAGCAACTCCCTTCTTCCAGTAAGTTCCCTCTGGAGCATGATCCTCTCTGTTTGGGGGTGCAGAACCCAATGCTTTCCCCTCCTGGGCCCGTCAGAAGAAGCAGAAGACCTAGTCATTCTTTAAAATTTGGCTTCGTGGAGTGCCAAAAAGACATTTCATTCGTTTCCTGAATCTGGATGAAAATGGTTCACACAACCACAGCTGATATCCTGGAACATAAATCCAGTTGTCCCCATGTGCCAAGGAAGGCTGAGCTCTCGCACACGCCAGGGCCCAGTCTGGCTTAACCTCGCATTGCCTGCCTTATCTATTGGCAGAATCTCTGAACTTTTCAAAAGGGGATGAGCCAGGCAAATTCTCGTAGGGGATTCAGTCCAGCTATTTCACGATTTAAGTGCCTGGTAAACCCAAGAACTTGACGAGATGCATGGAAAATGTTGAAACTTCCCACCACCTTCACATGCACTGATGTTTACTATTGGGTTGTTGGAAAAGGCATGACACATTTTTGCATAGAAAAAAACAGAAAAAATGGCTCTTCAGACAACCCAATGTTATACATGTGAAGAGGAAATGGAAGTTATTTATATCAACGAGCAACCAATTCAAAATGTAAATTTTAAGAACATGTTCACTGAGGGCTCGGACAGTGGTGAAGGAGTGATAGAATGCTCTGTGAGGCTGGCCCATGTGAGAGCATTCTGAGTTTGTGCCCGGAGATCTCCCAAAGATGCTGGGCCTGTGTGTGCCCATGACCAGGGACTGTTTGTCCATCTTACTGTCTCTCTCACCCATGAAAGAAAGGAATAAGTAAATTTAAAGGGGCCAGTAAGTAGCATGGTGGTTAAGGCACTGGATTCCACATGGCTGACCATGGTTCAACGCCTGGACCTGTCAGGCTGAAAATCACACTGGGCATGTGTGCGTGTGTGCCCAAAATCCCGAGAGGAGAATGGAGGAGCAACCCCTCTCCACCCACACAACCTCATGGACTTTCTTCCTCAGCCAGTGCCAGCCAGCAGGTCTGTTCTAGGTCTGTTTCTAGGTTTCTGTGCCCAAGTCTGCTCTGACTCTGGCCAGAACCCTTGCTTTCAGGTTGCTGTTGCTGTTTGCAATGGCCCTCAGAATTTAGAATTCTAAAAATGCTTAGTGTATGTCTTTCAATTCAACTAGACTGTTTGCTTCTTAAGCATGAGGACTATCTCTTGGCCAATCTATGTGTCACCTCACACAGGACAGCTAATAACTGCCTCTTAAGATTTGAAGGACATATAATAACTGCCTCAGGACTCAAGAAGATGCAATCAACTCAAACTATGGGAAACTTCAAAACTAGAACAAATTTTTGTTGTTCAAAATATCCAAGATGGTTTTAAATAAAAGGTTATTTTTTTTTTTTCAAAAAGCTGTCTTTAAAAAATTTTTGTTTGTTTGTTATGGAGTATGTGTGCTCACCAGAGAGGGAGGTAAAGTGACAAAGAACTTCTCAGGGAGGATGGCCACACTGCAGTCCCTCCTCCTTCATTCTCCTCGGGATTTTGGTCACACACACACACATGTATCCGGCGTGATTTTCAAGCTGCTTGGTTCAGGACTCAAACTGCGCAGTTGGCCAAGTGGGACCCAGCGATCTTAACCTCCATGCCACCATCTGGCCCTAATAGCTGCCTTTTTCAAAGCATCAGATTGCTTATTTCCAAAACCATTACTATGTCTTCTCTATTCAAGTTCTTGACAAACAAAAGTAACAAAGCTGAACAAGTAGAGATTGCTTTATCAAGCCTGGAAAT